TGAAAGAATATAAGATATGTCAGTTAAAATGACACACCTTTCTTCTTTTTGTTTTTATGCTGCAAGGCATCCCTTTTTCATCTATTAATAATATGTTTAATTGTGTTCTAATTATTTTTTAAAAAATTATTTTGTAGAATAGTTATGAAAAATGATATTTTTTTATGTTTTTTATTTATTTTAAAATTTGAAAATCAAAATAGAAAACAAAAAATAACTCAAACTTGATTGCTAAATTTGATTCTAAAAAATAAAAATAAAAATTACAGTTTTTAATTATTTTTTTTATAAAACAAATCTTACCAAATGGGTTTTTTTTTTATTTTTGTTTTCTAAAAATCAAAAAATTGTTTTTTTGTTTCCTATTCTTTTCTTAGAACCCTCCCAAACGTGACACTATTTATGGTTTTGCCTCTTGTCACACATGCTCTTTCACTTTCTTAATTTCACTAGTTTATCAACTAATTGCTAGGTAATTCCATGCATGGTTCGAAGAAACATGATGCTATTTCCACATTTAATTTGTTACAACAACTTGTTTGTTTTCATATTCGGAGAATGTTTTGCTTTCGTCAGTCTTAATCAACATAGTGGCCTGAGGTTTAAAATTAATGAGCGTGTTTATATTGGTCCGTTCAACATTTTTATATGTGAACACATATTGGTCCCCATCTATGTATTGGCTTTTTCTAAAGTTAGAATCAAGTGTGAAAGAAACACTAACTCCCTTACAATGAAATGGTCTAAACCAATACAGCGTTTGATTCTTTAGTCTGAACAAGCTGAGGCCCACGCCAGATATCGATACTTTATACATGAATAGTTAACCTAGTCTTTCAGCATCAATTATATTTTTTTGCCAACAGACAACTTCAAACAATAAATATTCCATGTGGACTAGGCTATGCACATAATGAGATATTACCAAATACTGATTGGTTGCTATGTTATCTTGTAATTTAGCTAAGCGATAAGATTAATTTGCCTTTCATCAACACCGTCTCTCAATCAATCAAAATCTTGATTGACAAATGGTTCTGCTAATTGGAAACATATAAACCCCTCTTTTGATAGCATAATTTGTTTCTCTAATCAATTATCCTTTACTTTTAATCGCATTTTTAAAGTAATTTTTAGGTATGCAAATTTGAGTGGTTAAAAGTTGTTTGAAACCTCACCAAACACGTTGATCAACTGCATGGGTTGTTTCAGTTTAATTAGTGTCCCTTGTGGTTTTGTCCGACTCGACCTTATTAGTTGATCAATTGATGAATCCGGTGGGGAAATCTTAATAAATAAATAAATAAATAAAATTGTTTGAAGCTGACATTACCCGAGTCAGCTTGTTCACATAACTCATAAGCAGGTAACTAATTGTTATTTCTGTAGCATTTGTCTTTAATAGCTCAATAACATATGCTTACGAATGATGTTACGAGAGACAAGTTGAAAGGTTATTCAAAGTCGTGTTCAATTTGTCTTCCAGTTATTGGATAAGACACTATAAAGGATTATGAACACTTAATTAGTCAGTGCACTTTTTGGTAACGAGTTATGTTATTCTAACATGATATGGTTACGTGAAAATTTTCACTCATTTATTGGTAGATCAATTTTCAACAATTATAATTATCATTTTCTCTTCGTTTTACAAATTTCATCATTAAAATTGTGGTCGTTGTGTATAAAAAAAAAAAAATTGTGATCAATAATCTGTTAATGAGTGATTGAGATTTTTTACGAGACATGATTAAATTAAAACATGACATCAGTGAATCTGTGCCCACACCTTTTAATAATTGCGATTAGAATATTTTTATAGTAATTAGTGAAGAATTTCTACTAATTGGATGCCTTTAGAACAATTCAATTAATCATATCGCATTGAAACCCAGAATTCCAAGTACATAGTCTTCAACGTACCTTCTCAGATGGTGTACATATAGGTGCAACGAATTTCCTTTAATAGGGCATTGATTTCTTGTATATAGTTCTACTTAACTAATCTATTATCAGTCATTACTTGGTTTCAATAGAACTTTTTATTAATAGGATTTGAATCTTAAAATTTCAAAATATAGTACTGATGATTAATTGTTAAAGTATCTCTTTAAATTCCTAAGCAAATAAGTGTATCCTTAAAGATAGAGTTTTCATCACACTTAATATTCCAACAATGTTTCCCCTCAACCAACTACCTTAGGTGACCCATCTCTAATACCATTGTTGGGTCAGTCCAAGGGGAGCCTATGACGGGGGATCATCTTCAATGAGCTAAGTTAGACTAGTCATACCAAGTGAGTTCAACATCATGTCTCAACGCAAAATCTCAATACATTGGGTTTATAGATCCATTCACTTATATGCATTTTACTTAGTTTATTACCAACTAATGTGAGACTCGTCACACTTGAATATTTTAACATGTATTAGATTATATGTTTAATTTCCACTATTGTGTCAAAAAAGATAAAGTTTGTTAATATTTAAATACTAAATTAAGGAAAATGTTCATCTCTACAACACACCAAATCAAGATATCCCAAACATTGCTGTGCGTATAATTTGTCATTCAAATTTCCTAAGCAATATCTTTAACTATGTTTCTCCTTATCAATCATCAGCCACGTCATTCATAGAAAATTTTCTACGAAAGTTTTCGTGTAATATAGCATTGCTGTTAATTTAATTTATATTTTAAAATTACCAATAATAATATATTATAAGTTTATAAAATCCATGTATATTTACAACGCTTTACATCCGCTGAATCAAATACTATTGGGGGGCATGTTAGGTAGATTGAACCGGAGAAGTTGCATGGCAATTGACAAATTTGAACAGAATCATTTGCAAGACTGCACCAATATGTATGTATACGATCATGAGTGCAGGTATCTTAAGCGCCCGGCAAGCAAAGTTCTTCCATGCCATAATAAGAAAATGCTTACGTGAAAGGATAAACAGATGTTCACCATATACATATGTTACCGTTAAGGAAGTAGATCAAATCGTAAGAGGTTCTTCTAGCTTAACCAAATGTTTTCGTGTTCGAGTATCTAGAAATACAATTGTGTTAAAATTTGATAGGAAAAACTTTACTACTCACATGGTCCTACCTGACTTAAATAGGATTAGTTGAGTAATCGATGATCCGATGGATAATATTAAAAAGTCACCGTATACATATGTGAACCACACACCAGGGAAACGAAACGGGACATGCATTTGTTCTTGCTAGGAGAGCGAGTGTGGGGAAGGACTGAATTCAAGCCATGAGTTTCGGGCGCGCAGTGGCTCTTTCTTTTAGTTAGTAGAAGTAGGGACAATCAGCTTTACACGTACTTCCACGTGATTAGCCCTATCCTTGAACTTGTAATAAACTAATAATGATGGTTTTTGAATACGGAGAATCTTCAGCTAGAGAAAACCCTGAACCCCTTCCTCCACAAGGCACAACAAGGACTAATCTTTTAGAGGACTTTATTACTAGTAAATTTTTCTATCATTATGAAGGGCAGAGTTAGAAAATTTTGTGAAGGGCATGAAATTGTGAGTGGAGTATTTCTTGTAAGTTACAACTATTTATGTAATCAAAAGAAAAAAATACTGCTAACAATTAAATACTTATAAGAATTTAAAGGGGACAATTACTATGTAGAAGACAAAAAAACAACATAAATCAACTCATAGTTAAAGACTTGTATGAATTTAAAGCGGGGGCAACCGCCCTAGACCCTCCCTCCACCTGTAAATTCATAGACACATCCTTTCTCTAATTCCCCACTTTTACTATTATATATGGGATGTTATTGATATACGTGTCTAATGAATAATTTTACAAAAACATTTCTTTCGCTAAAACATTACACTCTCATCTAACCAAAAAAAATATTACACTCTTACACTTAATTATATTTTTTTAATAAGGAAGAGAAAGAAAAAGATGAGGGAAATGAGATTGAATTTTTTTTCTCATAAATGTTAAATATTTAAGTTTAGAAGCCACTAGAATTGCCAAAAATTTATTGTACTACAGGCGTAGGTACATCACGCCAATGAGAGTGTGCCACATCAGCATATATTGTATTGGAGAGACAAATAGAAACAACTTTTGTACTTTACATTATGTCTTACCGGTAAGACATATTGCGATACATTGAATTTCAGTGCATCTGATGCACTATAAATGCTCTCTTAGAATTGACCTAGTGGTGAAAAATTTGAATATTTGCATGAGGTCATAGTTTGAACCTCAGTGTCACCCTTGTATCCAAAAGAATATATATATATATATATATATATATATATATATATATAATTTTAGAGATAGAAACACTCGGCCACACAGATGATACATTTATAACCATATTTTCGCATTATATATAGATAGATCAAGATGTATTCAAGTCAGTTGTCTGGTCTTTGCTGCTACGCAAGCAAAAAGAAGTGCAAATCAAACGGTTTGGATGCATAGAAAATAACGAAGTGTCTTTATTGACACTAATTACTCAAAGTGGGACATGCAAAATGATTTCTTCCCTTTCATAATTCATAGTTAATTAACTCTTCAAAGACCGCACGTATAATATAATATGTAATGATCAGTGCATTAATATATCTCTTCAAACTCAATGTTTGAATCATAAGATCAAAAGTAATAATGAGTTTAAGAAAAAAAAAAAATATTTATATTCCACTTATAATTAATACCCACTTGTAGTCAAATTCCAACATTAAATAGTTGTTTATAACATGGATGACCTCAATGAAACTCAATGCTATCTTTCTCTTACAGAGTGTATATACATATATATATTCTTAATAGCCCCCATTTCTATATATTCTTTTGCAACAACTAGTACCTGACTGCCAACGAAGCTGTCCTACTAGCATAAAACAACGAAGCGAGCCAATTGAATTCCCAAAGGTGAGTGTCATCATACAATTCTATTCTCTCTCTCTCACTCATACATTAGCACACAGAGAAACCTACTTTCTTTCGCTTTTCTCCACTAACACAAAAAGACTCACCACCCTTTTGCTTTTCGTGTTTTTTTGGATTGTTGTAGATCTACAAAAATAAAGAAGATGATCCAAGAACTGTTGGGTGGTGCTAGCCTCATAGCAGGTGAAAGAAAATCCTCCATTAACAACGGAGGAGGAGTTCTACTTCCAAATACACCATCTCCTTGTTCTCTCCCTTCTTCCACAACCAGTGTCACCACCACATCTACAGCTAACACCGCCACCGCAGCCAACACCGCCACCTCAACAACCTCAGATAACCAAAACCTGAGGTGCCCTCGATGTGATTCATCGAACACAAAGTTCTGTTACTACAACAATTACAACCTCACTCAGCCTCGACACTTCTGCAAGACATGTCGCAGGTACTGGACCAAAGGAGGTGCTCTGAGGAACGTTCCCATCGGAGGTGGCTGCCGGAAAAACAAGAACATCGTCGGAACGTCGGCGGCAAAGACTACCACCGCCACCGCGACTAAGATGAAAACTGTGGCATCGGAGCTTGGAAGGTCAGGACTTGGTCCTGGCTTCGAAGTCGAACATGACCTTCCACCAAGCCAAATCCTATGGGGTTCACCACAAAATACTCATCTTCTGGCTTTGCTAAGAGCTAGCCATAGCCAAAACCAAAACCCTAACCCTAACCCTACTCTCATGTCCATCAATGCTGTTATTAAGGAAGATGGGCACTTAATGGGATCCCAATCCCACATGGTGACTGAACCATTAGTTTCAAATGGTTTGTTGAATCCTCGAACCCTAGGCTATGATGCTGTTGGGCAAGTTCCTTCACTTGGTCTATGCAGTTCATTTTGGAGAAATAATCAAGATCAACCTCAACAACAAAATGGAGGGTATGTAATTGGTGAACATCAAAACAGTGGAATTCAAGAACTTTACCAGAAGCTCAGGTTATCATCAACTAATTATTGCAGTGACAACTCACCAGTGTTTATGGGGAACATGGCTTCTAATTCCTCTTCTATATCAAATATTTTGGAGTCAACTTCGGTTGCAGGGGCTGAATTGGGGTACTGGAATCCAACCTTTTCGTGGTCTGATCTTCCAACCACAAATGGTGCATATCCGTAACAGTGATAACTATTTTTCTCTCTTTTGTTCACCGTTCAAATTTTCTTTTCCCATTAGATAGTAGCATAGTGTTGCTTAATTTGTATCTTAGAGTTTGTTTCTCTAATTTGTGGTTGCTTTGTTTTTGGGGGTGGTATATGAATATGGATCTAGCACTAGGTTTTTTCTTCTTTTTTCCACTCTTGCTTTCTGTCATTTGCTGCTTTTTTTGTAAGTTTGGTTGATGGTGTGCTTGGCTAAGTTATTATGGTTATTTCAAGGACCGGGGAGTCTAAAGTTAAATGGAAAACGCACTGTATTTTGTTTTTATCAACTCTAATTATTTATTTGAGTAGAATCGGCTTCCGATATTTTCAAAAACTTCGACTCTTTGAGTCGGTTATAAGACTTATCTCGAATCGGAGTTTAGTCACAGTTAAAGCTTCTCATTTCTTTCCAAAGATGTATTTGATGAGAATTGAATTGAATTCTCTTGTCATCCCGTGTCGTCAACTGAACTTGGATAACAGTGTATTTTGAATGCTTCTAATTATTATTATTTTTAAGTAAACAAAAGTTTCTTATTAGTTGCCAAGTCTCTTCATTTTCCTCTTTTCCCCTTCTCTATACTTCACTTAAAACGCCTCATAAAAATTAATTGTTTTGGCTTCAGTGTATTCGAGGTTTCGGTGCTCATCAACGAGAATATCAGGAACAGCAATCTTAAGTCTTAACCAATATAATTTTATTAAAAAAAATAAAAAAATAAAAAAGAGTAAAGCTGTTGCGCAAAAGAATACATCGTCTTGGTATACTCAAAACTTTAGGGTTTTGTTTTCGTGTATATTAAGAGGAGGTAGTGGAGGCGTGGTGGTTCTTGTGGGTAGCATACGAAAATGCAAGATTTTGTTTTGTTTCGAGAAATCGGTGAATCTAATGCAAAACCAGCCTTTTGAAAGAGTTTCCTCAAACGGCACTAGAGATTCTTGCTGTTGGTAGTGAGAGGAATCCACCTGCATCCTTACACTGAACACTTGTATGTCTGACTTCTTATTCTTCGGTATTGTCCTAAATTTATTTCTTTCAAGTACTGACAATATCTATCTATCTATCTATCACGCACATTGTTGTCTCTGGAACTAGCTGTCTATTCTTCTTGGTTCTTGGTATTATAATCAGTAATTTGAACTTGTCTCTAATGATCCTAACCTATATATTACGGGAGTCTCACGGCAGGTTAAGTCACAAGAACAAATCTTACACCTCAATTACTGATTTCCGTGCATCTAACAGTTATAATTTAGGAAGTCATATAAATTAATTAATATTAATTAATCATTCATTACACTACAAATATCAACTGATTATTTCTGTCCATCAACGGTTGAGATGTGGTGTAAGACTTATTAGTCTTACACTGGTGTAATATATATATATATATATATATATATATATATATATATATATATATATATAGTAAATATCATTTTTGATCTCTAACAAAAAATACGGTCCCTACTTTAGTCCCTTACAAAAATAAATTAGTCAGTTAGTCCCTAACAAATTCAAGCTGGACCAGTTTTAGTCCTTTTGAGGGACTAATACGGGTCTTTTTTGAATTTGTAAGGGACCACAATTTCAACTAAATGGGTCCTCTTTGAATTTGTTAGGGACTAACTGACTAATTTAGTTTTGTAAGAGACTAAAGTGGGGACCATATTTTTTGTTAGGGACTAAAAATGGTATTTACTCATATATATATATGGTAGGATCCTTTGACACCGGTGTCAAATTTAAAGTTTGACACCTCTTCTGAGAGCCGTTAGATAAGAAAAGATCAATGGTATCATATGCTTACTGTAACGCCCGACCGCTTCAAGAATCAAAGACTATCCCCACATACTAACACGATACTTTTCAGTGTGCTGTTTTCTCACTCGCACACTTCTCCGAAAAACTTCCCAGGAGGTCACCCATCCCAGAATTGCTCCAAGTCAAGCACGTTTAACTGTGGAGTTCTTCCGATCCGGGCTACCGAAAAGCAGATGTATCTTGTTAGCATAGGTAGTACCAATTAATTCTTATAAGCTATCCCAAACTGTGCAGCCTTCTACCTGTACAGCCTTTGGAATCCCTCTCTTTCGGGTGTCGATTCGATTCATTCATGCATGTAACCCCCTGCTGGAAGCCTGTCAGGAGCCGCTCCTTGTCCGTGCCTCTTTGTACCGGCGATCACTCTCCGCCCTCATCAGCGCTCGGGATGTTACACTTACAAATCAGAGTCGTTGATCTTTTTTGATCTAATGGCTCTCAGATGAGTTGTCAAACGTTAAATTTAACACTGGTGTCAAAGGATCATTTGACATTAGTGTCAAACTTTAAAATTTGGCACCAAATCCTAACTGTTGATTTTCGTCAATCAACAGTTATTATTTATTGGAAATTAATAATTAGTTAATAAGTTTGATTTCCAAGAAATGATAACCGTTAATTGGCGGAAATCAATGGTTAGAATTTGGTGTCAAATTTCAAAGTTTAACACTGATGTCAACGGATCATATCTCATATATATATATATATATATATATATATATATATATATATATATATATATATATATAGGGTAAAGAATTTCTCCAGTCACCGGAGATAAAGTTATCTCCAGAGAGCTCAAAACGACGTCCTTCTAGGGCGAAAATCAAGGTGTTTTTGTATTTATAATATATTATCGGGTTATATTAGTCTTTGTCATTATAATTTTTTAATTTTATAACCCAAAACGACGTCGTTTTGAGCTCACTGGAGATAACTTTATCGGAGATAACTTTATCTCCGGTGACTGGAGAAATACTTTTCCCATATATATATATTGCTTTTATACTTCTTTTATCACTACAGAAGAAATTTTTTGCAGGAACACATAAAATGTAAGGATATGCATGCGGGTCCTGCCTTTAAAAAAAACCGATAGGGCCTACTTTTTCTATGTCTGTTGCCCAAAAAAAGTGGTGCAGTGACAGCAGAAGTTTGAAACCCTATATATATAGGGTCTAATAAATAAAAATTGTCCCAACAATTCTAAAATAATATGATTATTAGGTTTGAGGAAAAAAATATTGAATGTTTTGAAAAAATTCATATCATAAGAAAGGAATAAAATTTCCAAAACGTCATGTATTTTTTCCCCTAAAATCTAATTGAGATTACATAAGTATGAGACTAAGCACAAATATTACAAAAAAAATGAAGGTAACAAATTATAAGAAAAATAATGATTTTTTTTTTTTTGAGGATATGGTTGCTCTTTTAATATTCCATAGTAAGTATGGTACCACCTCACACCAAAACTATTATTATATGATTATATTACTGGATATGGCTCATACTTTACATTAAGATGAGGACTCTTGTTGGCAGGGTCAACAGGCTTGCTCTGATAACACTTGTAACGTCCGACCACTTGAAGGATCAAGACGGTTCCCACAAACCAGCGCGAGACTTTTCAACATGCTTTCTCCTCACTCACAAACTTCTTGATAAATTTCTCAGGAAGTCATCCATCCCAGAATTGCTCTATGTTAAGCACGCTTAATTATAGAGTTCTTAAGTCATGGGCTACCAAAAAATAGATGCATCTTATCGGTACAGGTAGTACATATTAATTCATTTAAATTATCCTCAACTATATAGTCCCGTACTTGCACAGCCTTCGAATCCCTCTCGTTCGGTTGTTGATTGGATTCATTCATATACCCCTCCACTGGAAGCCTACCAGGAGTCACTCCTTGTTCGTGCCTCTCTTGTACACCGGTGATCACTCTTTGTCCTCGTCAGCTCCCGAGATGTTACAATATACATTCTATCAATCAAACATCAATCTTTGGTATCAAACCATCAAATCATTATAATACTCTCATTATATAAATCCTCTACAAAAGTAATGAATTAAAACGTACATTTATATACATGTCTCTTCCTATATCTCATGGTACCAAAATTACAAAATGAGGCATACAAGCCTTTCAAATTGTCTACACGACATGGATCAAGTTTTAAGCTACACAAATACATGTTTACAATAAATAGTTCATACTCATGATCATGTATACAAAACAATAATCAGTGCAAATAGGCTCAAATGTCACGATTTCTACCATATCAGGATCCACTAGGTCATTTTCCTCTAATCTCACTGGTACCTTCATCTTGAGGGCCTGAAATATAATTTCCCACACGGGGTGAGTTCGATGACAATCTCAATAAACTAAGGATCCTTGGAGACTCCTCTACCCTTAAGTTCACTTCTATGATACATAGGAATTAAAACAAGCGCGCACACACACACACACACACACACACACACACACACACACACACACACACACACACAAAACACTAGAGCTACTCCATTGACCAACTTGCCATAAAAGGAGTGCTCGTAAGACATTTTTGAGAAAAATCCCTACGGGCTCCTCTTTTCAGGTTTTAACCATAACGAATCATTCCATGAATCTAGTTCCAAAGGGAAGTCTATAAAAACATGCATATTCTCTTGGCTAGGGAACCTCCTCAATCATGCATTCATCACAAGCATATTTCTTATATCATGCTTTATTTTTCATTCTAATACGCAATGCACATCAATCCAAACCATTACTCCCAATGGAGTATGGTCGAACACTAAAGAGAATCTCAAGGTTCAACCCTCACCCATTATATACAATAGTAACCATTTGTAATATTTTAGCTAAGACATCATAGAGTGAAATCCTCTTAAGAGAAGTTTGTGAGTGTGACCTCTTTGGAGAAATACTTGTAACAACCATAGTTGGTGAAGGTTCAATGTACCCCTAGTGTGACTAGAAAAATTTGAATAATTTGTAATCCTAATATTTCACAGTAAAATTTTTTTTGGACTAGTATTCTATAGTTTTTACTTTTCTACATTAGAGAAAATTTTTCACGTTAAAATATGCTATGTTTTCTCTTTGTCTCTCTCATTTATGTAATTTTTTTTTACGATTTGATCAACCTAGTGATTTCAAACCAATCTTAAAATGCCAAGTTCAGATGTCGATGTGCTAACTTCAAATCGCTTCCGCGCTGAGGAAAATTTATTGGGTGCTACTGCTGTACCGAGTATGGTACATCATTTACTCAAATTGGAAGATTTTACTTCCATTGTGTTAGTACATAGGTGTCCTAGAGACAATCAGAGAGTCAGATAGAACCATGTACTTCTTTATTAGTTATGAAATTTT